AAAAAAAAATCAATCTGATAATCATAACATTTTTAGTAGCCAATTGTATTTATGTCCAACAAAATAAATTATAAGTGTTTTTAAAAATAAATCATTTATTTTTTTATTAATAAATTAAATAAGTTACGATAATCGAATTAATTTTTTTGTAAATGATATACATGAAACATTCTACAAAATGAACAATTTAAATTATCAAAACAAAACTTGTGATGAGTCTTACAGGCCAAGACAACACTCTCCGATCCAGATGATGGACATGAGGGAATCCAACTCCATAAAAAGAACCAAACACGTCAAATTCAACTAGTTTTCAACTGGTTAAAAGTTCCTTTGGGCTTTAAATATATTTTGAAATTTATTAAAGTTTTCAAACAATTATTGTTATTCAGCTCAGTTTGATAAATTTAATAAAAATATCAAATTACTCGAGTTCAACTCGACAAAAACTTGATTAAAGTCGAAAAAAAAAAAAAAAAAAAACTTTGTTCTTTAAGTTGTGTTTGGTTGAAGGATTTGGGGAGGGATTTGGAAAGGGAAAGGGAAAAGGTGTGTGAAACTATGTGAAATATAGGCATGATTTATTCACATTTCACCTACCTTTTCCATTTCCCTTTTCAAATCCCTTCCCAAATCCCCCAACCAAACACAGCATTAATGGATTAATGAATTAGTTGTGTATCATCAACATTTCGCAGAATATCCAGCACCTCTTAGTAGAAATCTGATCTCTTATTTCCTCCAATACGTAAATCATAGCATGCACGATTGGTCAAAAACTGTTCAATAAAACCCGGATCTCTCCGAGTGAACAAGTCGTCGACGGCTCCGATATCCCGGAAAAGGCTTGCTTTCCGGTAATCTTTGCAGGAAAAATGGCCACTGCCCATTTGAGTAATAGTGTGGTCTCTCCTCCCCAAAACAATTCTGTGGAACTGTGTGCTAGTCCTGTGAATATGGATCCTGGCCAGTACCCTATCATGTTGCCTTGCAGCTCAAGCCACCAATTTCCTGTGTTATTATCCTGACGGTACATATCAAGCGTTTTTAATCAACAATACTGTATACAAAAATATTTCGAAGTTTATCCAGTATTTGAATGTGTTTAGGAAAGGGTTTGAGTACTCTCATATTCATAATCTAATTTAAGAGAGAAAAATATTTATATAAAAAATTAAAATAATTAGATTTTGATAATTATATATTTGAATCATATTTATCTAAATTAATGACAAATATAATTTTAAAAATAATCGTCTATTTTTTAAAGACAAATGTAATTTAAATATCTATTTATCAAAATTTAAATATCTTAATTTTTTGCATAATAATTTTTCTCAATAAATTATAAAAAAATAAACAGTTTATAGCACTAAAATTGAGCTTACAATGGACCACTAAGTACAAATACTTTCTCAGGTGAAATTCCCAACGAGAGAAGCCAAACTTTTGAAAAACTCTAAACACAAAGTGTGGTGTGGCTGAGATTTGATTGTTTATTGTGGGGATTTTGGGTGGTTGCCATTCATATGCGTATTGTGCGACTTTTTTGGGCCAATTTTGAGGTTTATTTAGGCCTTGTTTGGGAAGTGGCTATTTTAGTAGGCTATTTTAGTTTTTGGCTATTTTAAGTAGGCTAAAATTTTTGTGTTTGGGAAGATGATTGGATTTTTTTGTGGTTGGATGTGATGTTTGTGAGAGAAAAAGTGAAATGATTATGGGTTTGATGTGATATTTTGTCTTATTAGCTATTTTAGCCTATTTTGTCTTTTTGTGATTTTTAGCCTAAATTTGGCTATTTTTTTTCTTTCCAAACACCCCCTTAGATGTTTTAAATCGTTTATTTTTTAAATATGTCAAATAAAATATATTTATAAAAATTAAATTGATTAGATATTTGTAACCCTTTATTAAATCAAATTTGTATTTAATTTTCAATCTCGCTCAGTAACTTGAATTAATTAAGGCTTGAATGGCTTGAGTGCCAAAACGATGCCGTTTTGACACTTTTTTTTTTTTTCCCCCTTCTTCCTCTGTGTTCCTATATCCCAAAAGCAAAACCTTTGGAAGTGCCAAAGTAGATCTCTCCTTCTTCCTATATCCCAAAAGCAAAACACTTGGAAGTGTCCTATGTACACACATAGATCTGTTCTTCCTCTCTTTTTTTTTTTTTTTCTTCTTTCGTAACTCAGAATCAAAAAAAGAGATAAAGGAGAGGAAAGAGATAGAGCAAAGCGGAGAGGAAAAATCAAAAAAATCAAACAAGAAAAAAAAACAGAGGAGGAAAAAAGAAACAAAAAGAAGAGAGAGAAGAAGAAAATGAGAGGATGAAGAAGAACAAATCTATGTGTGTACACACACAGGCGAAGCCGGTGGGTGGAGGGGTTTGCGACCGACGGTGATGGCGGCGCCAGTGGCTTGCGATGATGATTCCAGCTCTCTCTTTGTTTCTGTTCCCTCTCCCTCTTCTCTCTTTCTTCTCTCTTCCTCCCTCTTTCTTCTCTCGCTTCTCTATTTCAAAGAGAAAAGAGAGGAAGAAGAGGAAAAGAAAAAGAAAAAGAAAAAGAAAAAAGCCAAAAAATGACGTCGTTTTGGAATTTGGCCCACTTGAGCCTCCAAAATTTCGAGCTACAAAGCAATTTTCTTTAATTTTAGGGGTATTTATTCATAAATTTTTTTTCATCTATTTACATTCTACTTAATTCAAATTATTTTCTTATATTCTAATAAATGTTATGGGTATATAGTTATTAAAATACACCTAATAATAATATCCACATTCTGTGATGTGAACCACATGTTAATATAAACATTCACATTATAAAATATGAATATTCATATCACCAAGTTGCTAACCATTCAAAAAATATTTGTAAGAGTAAAATTATTCATAAAATACATTAAATGTGAGGATTATGATTTGGTAGATCAAATGTCCAAATAATAGGACTTATTGGAATACAAAAATATGTTATGGATAATTAGGATAACAAGTACCTGAAAAAAAAAATTCTTAATAAATCTCCCTTAATTTTTATATTTCAAATTACACTTACCATTTATTTTTTTAAATACAAATATAATTTGATGGAGGAGATACCTACATAATTACCCAATGTTTGTAACCAACAGTCAAAAAAATTATTTAAAAAAAAATAAATACGTATTTCATGTATTCAATATGCGTACAGTTCTGTACCCATACCAAAACATACCTCTCATATGAGTACGGCATTATGTTTGGAGTACTCATAACTAAACTCGGCATCTTATTATATTCATCAGATGCCTATTTGGTAAAATTTATTGTAAACTAAAAATTGATGATCAAAACACAAAAATCAAGCACTTTTTTTCCGCTTTGAGATAATCAATTTTTTTTTTTTAGCTAACTTAAGCTATTTCCACCTAATAAACTCAAAATTCTATCAAACTGTCTAATACAAACTCATAAGTCAAATAAAATAAATAAACAACATTATAAACCGTTAAGATAAACTGCACCAAACCACGCAAAATATACCTTGAAAATAAGGATGGATATATCAAATGTCTTTCTGTTGTAGGTGGAAACAACTTTAAATTCATCAAGGAACAACTTTAAATTCATCAAGGATCCTCTAGAGTGTTTTTTTCCTAAAGTTTCCTAAAGTGGTATATTGTTGTTACTTGTTTGCACAAAACCTCCGCATTTGAGATTGTAACACCCTGTTTTTTGGTAGTTATCTCTCTGATTTTACACCACAAAATATTGGTTAGTTCTAATTCAAATTTTCGCATCAAATATTTTATGTATATAAAATATATTTTGAAAAATATTTTTCGTAGTTAACAGAAATTAAAAAATAAAAATAATAAAAGTTCGTTTAGATAGAAAATAATTTTCATGATCAACTAAAGACAAACTTATTTAAACAATATTTTTTAGTCAAAAAGTTAATCAATGCTACCAAGCCACCACCACCACTGCCTCCACCACACTACCACCACTACTAATATTATATCAAATTTAAGGAGTGGGGCTTCTTTCAAGTGTGTAGAAAAACTGGACTTGTCCAGTTCAGGCCACTAGACCTATCACAAGGCCTCTCTCGGGTTCATTTTTTGCGTGAGGATCCTCTAGAGTTTCTTCTCTAGAGTGATCTCCTAGAGTTAGATCCAATGGTTGATATAAAGGGAATAGAAAACGACGTCGTTTTGATATTTAAAAACATGAAAAAAAACACAGCAACAAACATATGTTAGCCTCTGTTCTCTTCTTCTTTTTCTTGCCCCAAACAGTTAGATCCCAGAAGATGACCAAACCCACTTTTGTTTTGAATCAAATGAAAATGAAGAAGATTAAATCAACACAAGCATCCTTCAATTTTTTCAAGTGCTCTTGCATTCTCTGCACAATCAAGACAAACCTATACGAATATATGTATATATGTACAGACTCCATGTATATATATATATATATATATATATATATATTTACAAATTGAATCAAATGAAAATGGATTTTGATATGTGAGATCTACATAAATAAAAATCTTTTTTTTAAAAAGGAAATTTTTTTTTTTTTTTTTTTCTCAAATTACACACAAAAACGATGTCGTTTTTGTGAGGGAGAATCTCAGCCTTCCGATGGATCACTCCAGGAGATCACTCTAGAGAAGGAACTCTAGAGGATCCTCACCCTCATTTTTTAATCTTTCTACATCATCTTCATTCACTCAATGACTCCTTTTTTTTGTTCTCTTTCATCATACCTTGCATCTTGAAAATCTGCAGACATTCAATGCTCCTTTGGTTTACATATTTTATAAAACTGGTTTGAAAAAATAATTATAGCCAAAATTTTGGGCTGAAAATGCACTTAACTCGAGCTATAAAAAAAAAAAATTAATTAATTAATTAATTGCAGCAATGTGGCATGAGATACATATGTACAAAACAAATTGCTCCTAATCAGACCTTTTAAATCAGCAAAGAGTTTTGCAAAGCACTCGAGCAAGTAAAAAATAAAAAATTAATTAATTAATTAGTCGAATTTCACAGAACAAACATCATGTGTACAACCAATATCCAGAAACTAGGCACCGCATAAGGCGTACAATGGCATCAGAATTCAATTTTAAAAATTAACCTGGATGTGTTTGTGACGAGATTCAAATTTGTAATACAAGCTTTCCAGAGTGAAGCCTCGCATGTGCTTCGAGCCCAGGGAGGCATTTTGAATTGAAGATCGGTAGGCAGATTGGCGTTCTCAACATGGGTCTCTGACCGATTCATCGATCCAATGATCATGATGTTATGAGAGTAGTTGCGCATCAAAAACCTTGCAGCCATCACATACTTACTCCATGGTTTGCTGACTTTCCTTCTGCATGGTGAGAAGCAGACTAGAAATGGCATTTGGAACTCTTTCTACAGTTCAATGCGGTCGACTTTCCTGATTAAGGTATTTTTTTAACTTGATTACATAATTAGATGTATTTTAAACTTTATTCCCGAACTAAAAGAATGTGTTTAGTGAACACGTTTTTTAGTGAACCAGCTTATAAACTTGTTTATCAATTCCAGCTAAACAACTTAAAAGCATATTTATCAAAAGGCGCTCCTTCCCAAGTTTGGGAATAAAGTTTAAAATACACCTAGTTATGTAATTAAGTTTTTTAAAAAATCATAATTAGGGAAATGAGCCAGTTCGAAATATATCTCGTCTTCATATTTGAAAATCACCATCTCTGAGAAATTCAGTACCCTGGAAACAAAAATTGAAATATCCCTCAACGAAATTAAGGCAACGAAGCAGCTAAATGGAATACATGACTTAATGCACAAATCAAAATAATTGAAAGACGTTGCCTGCAGGGGAGTGAAATGAGAGAGAATTTACACCTCATAAAGGAAATATCACTGAAGCTCCAGGAGGCAAACACACTCGATGTGAGGAGTGTGAGGGAACATGTCTACTGGCTGTAGGCTTCTTAGTTTGTAACATCCCTCTATATTTTGCTCTGCCTGTAAAGTTTTTGATATCTCGGAATTACAGAGATTTAACCCACAGCTGAAAAAGACAAGCAACATAGAACTTACCACACCGTGACAGAGGTAATCGAGGTCCCGTGCACATGTTGCAGGATTACAGGACACATAAATAATCCGTGGGGCTCGAAGCTTTAGTAAATATTTAATTAACTTCATATGCATTCCTGGACGGTTTGGATCTGCAGGATGCATCCATCATGTCAGAAAATATCTGGAAAACCTAGTGCTATGTTTTCAAATACTTAAGTGAAGATCAGATAAGGAACAGCAGATTTCTCAGTTCAAACCTTAAATATACAGTCATGTAATTTATGTGGGGTTAGACTCAGAACATCCAACCACGAGACCCATATGCTTTTTTTGAAGGACAAACATGTAATTATCTTAGATATTGATCATTGCTATGTTGAATGCAAGATGATGTACACAATTTTAACATTCTACAGAAAGGAGAAGAAAATAGAAAACTGAGGCACCCAACAAGGACATAACCTGATATGATGATGTCGGGCTTTGGAAAATTTTTCCCAAAATTCAAATCAATTTTATTGAGGTCTCCTTGTACAAATGTGGCATTATTGATGTTGTTCATCTTGGCATTACGACAAGCATCTGAGATAGCCTGAGGAACTACTTCATAGCCATAAACACGTCTGGCCCTGACAAAAGCAAACCAATGGAAGCAGATCCAAACAGGACCATCATGTAAGATTTGTAAAATCACACATTTCAAATTATAAGAAAAACATGAGAATTACTTTCTGGCTAGTGTCAAGCCAATGGTGCCCGTTCCACAAAAAAGGTCAAGGACAATTTCTGAGCCGTCTCCTTTGAGATCCGCATAATCTTCAATGAGTCGATAAAGAACCTCCGCCTGAAAGTTGTAAAATGGAATAATGAAACTCAAGCAAGCAATCACTTTCCTGGGGGGAAAAAACATAGACTAACAGGAAATCCAAATCCTGGGATGTTGCATACCTGGTGTGAATTTGTCTGAAAGAAAGAATTGGCTGAAATTTGAAAAACAAGCCCTCTTAGGATCTCTGTGATGGTAGATTTACCATATAACGTGAACTCATCCTCACCAACAGATGTGTTACCGACAGAAGTATTTACGTTGTTCACAATGCTCACCTGTTGGTCGGCAGACATAAGAAACGAAAAATGATATTCCAAAATGAAGGTTTCACTAGTGACACTGACATCAACTGGAAAATGTGCACAGAAATGTCATACAGACCACTTCAGGTATGGCTGAAATTTTCTCAACAAGGGGATTCAGGAGCTCTGGTTTGTGGGACGAAGTCACAAAATTAACCATAAGTTGAAGAAGACCAGTATTGACATCCCTGAAAAATGAATAGTAATTGTGTTAGCTTCTGGTGATATTTGTGATCTGACTTTTTTAAAATTTTAAGTGAAATAATCCCTATAAGAAATATAAAGATTTGGGAACCAAATGAGCAGGAGAGTTACCTAAAGGATTAAAAAGCTTTGCATTGAGTTTTAGGTGTTTGCATTCATTGAGAGAAAAATGTACAAAAATTAAGGGCATTTCATTCGATATTTCAAGCTGTAAGAAGCAGTAACGGAAGGTATAAACATTTCTCATTCTTATTGGTCAGATGTTGAAGAATATCTACTTACAATACCATCCAGAAAATGCAACCCTCATCAAGCATATACAGCTACATATATATTTCACATATTTTTAACCAGGATAACAAAGAAAAAAATTAACTAATATATTTGCCTCGTTTATTTTTTCTCTTTCTCTTCTGTCAACTCTGTCCCAATGATCAGACAACATAAATTTCACTACTGAGTTGTAAAACTGGTCAGGGGTTTTTGGAGCTATGCATGCTCTTTTGCAAACAAGTGTCTTCTGTGTGCAAGTAAGGAAATAAAAAAAGTATGGCATGCTTAAATGTTTGAAGTTTAACCAATTATGATGATAGATAAATGATAGAACTCAGTATACCTGCCTGTTCTCAGCATTAGATGCTTAAGATACCCAGCATGGGAATGTACATTATACGGAGAAAGGCCTAATTTTGGATCTCTCCAACAATCTTGAATAGCTTTGAGAACCTATAAACAAAAATGCATATCAAGTGACAAGAAAGAGTAAATTCTACAAGAGTCTGAAGTCAGTATAATGGACATGATCAACAAAGCTGTGCTCATTATTTTAGTACAAGTACGACCAATTCACAAAACTGTTTGATAAAATGTAGATCCCAATCCAAACAACACACCAAGGAAAATAGAAAATCTCCTTACATCTGTAAAACCAATCAGGCAACATATAGTGCAAATGAAAGTTTCTATCTAATTCTTTTTATATTGATGATAAGGCAGCATCTAGTGCAAATGAAATAAGATGGATGTTATCAATATTTTGGTACAACATCTACAATTATTCAGACGGTAATAGGAAGGATAAATGCACATAAGCCTTGACCCCTAGTATGGCAAAAATCACATAACTTGGTCATGGCATGGGAAAGCCTCATCTTCCATGTTTATGTAGCCTTCCATTGAAGCTACTCGAGAATTTACTTAAAATTTCAATAAAACTATGGTCACCCAACAATTTAACATTGTCATGACAAACTTTTTCTTCTTGTTTCTAAAACCATGAAAAGAACACCGAGTCTGGAGCACGGGGCATTAACATGTGTATAATATGTGCATGTTAGCTAAAGTGAAGCAATGACTTTAGCCATGGATTTCAGTTATCTACAGAAAACAGCCTGTGGCTAGGCATTATCCATAAAATTACAACATTTAAAATGTAAATCCACAAGCATTCCTATAGTTTTTGCCAAAGCAATTGACTGGCATGCAACAAAGAACGCCCATAATTAAATCTAGCAAATGCTACGTATGGGAGTCCCAATTTATTTGGTTTTATCTAAACATATATTTAATTTACTCATCAGAGACAACAGATTATAGTATCTGATAAGAGGTTTCTATGAAAGAAATCATGCAATATTTTAACAATATGAACATGAAAAAGATATCACACACCTCATTGGCAGGCTCACTTTGTAATAAGCATTTGTTGACATTAAGAACCTTATCAAAAAAGCCAGGAGCATGCAGTCCCAATGCATAGTCAGCGGCATCACTTTGTTCACTTTGTTCACTTTGTTTATCCTGTAACAAGTCTCTAGGTACCCATGTCTGATTACTGAATGAAAATTCCATCTGCAGAGGAAAGAAAAGTAGGCAGAGATATTTTACAGTTTTTTTAACTATATTATCTAATCTCTTCTTGGATATAAGTTGATAAAAAGGTCAATGAAAGTGAACTGTGGGAAATGCAAAATGATTTCCATAACTCTTACAATTAAACTTATTACCGAAAAACGCAGTTATGTTTTATCTTCTTCTAGTGATGATTAACGTAGTGTATGATTTTTCCATCATGCCTCTAAAGAAAATGCAATGAAGTTCTCTTAATACACTGATTAATTCGTATTGCATCATTAATTTTAGAACATACTCTTCACAAAATTTCAAAATTTAGGCAATCTATTCATTTTTTAAATTTAAAATCAATCAATAAATAAAATAAAGCCCAACAAAGGTGACTTCAATACTTGCCTTGTTCCTATAATGAAATTGAATGTCACAGGGAATAATGGGCTTCATGATGTTAAAAGATTCCAGGTCTTTATCAGAAAACTTCCCCACATGTATGACCAACTCTCGGACTTGTTGTTCTTTAGCTCTGATCTGCGCCTCATACAGTAGATTCTGTGTTTTACAACCTCCACAATGTAAAGCATGTTCACATGGAGCTTCCACAAAGTCCCAGTGCGGGGATATTGTCTTTAATTTAGTCGCCTGCACTTCTCACAAATTAATTCAAGACCATAAGCAATCAGAAACTGGGTTATATATATAAATTAGCCATACAATGAAAAATTACTAACCAACAAAAACATATAAGGAAAATCACTTACAAAAATTAAAATTGACTTGGCAAGCTATGATATTTCCTCTTGTTTGCTAAGTTACTATACAAGGGAAATTAGGAAAATTGACACAGTAGAGCCAGGAGTAATAGGCATAATCCTTGCACCATCTAGAAAAGTGCCTAACTTCTGAAGTAAGTAGCACAGGTTTCTCATTAATGTGACAGAATTATGATATTTAAATTAATTTTCCGAAGCCACATCTTTTTTTACAAGGTTATAAGTTAGAAAGTCAGGTATGCCAACATGCTTGTAGGTAAATACAATTAAGATGGAGATAATCTCAACAGCCTAGCTAGTACGAATTTACTTTTTGACGATGCAACTTGAGCAAATAATTGTTGGAATGAAATCCTTGACCTCCAAATAGTAGCGAAACACAATTAGCCTTGGGTAACGTGGTGGTTAAAATTAAGGTTGTCAAGGCATTGAGGAACACTAAGATGTCCTATAATGTAACAGATTATATGATCCTAAATACAGCCAGAGAGAGAGAGAAAGAGAAAGATAGAAAGAAGCTTATGTAGCTGCCAAAAAATGGTTGGAATTGAAGGCATTGTTGTTGAGTTGATAGTATCATCATATGGTAATGGAATATAACCCCATCACAATTATATCCAATTGGACTTGGCTACCACTATATAAAGTAACCAAGCCTTGTGTCCCAATCAAATGGGGTTAGACATATGAATCCTTTCTCCCCATTCAACTCTATCAAGGGCTACATGCTCAGTGAAATTAAGTAAATTCATATCTTTTTTTACTACCGCATCGCATCTCAATGTAAGCCTTCCTCTCCACCTAGCATCTCCACTTGTGATGATCCTATCACTCTTCTTTACCGTTGCATCTATAGGTCATCCTTATACATGACCATATAATGAATTCCTCATGTTCGGTCACCAAGCTCCATAATTTTTTTTATTATTATTTTTTTTTTATTACTTTGAAAAATTAACATTAAAAACTATGACAAACACAAGAGAGCTCATGCATTGACTTCAATTTTTTATTTTTATTTTTATTTTTTTAATAATATATCATGATGAAGAGTTAGAAAGACGGCTTTTAATTTTGTAAGCCTGAAATGAAAGAATAAATTGAGTATAATGCAACTTAGTCATCACTCTCTTCTCATTTTCTGAGCAACCAAACAAAACAACAACACTAATCTTCACTAATAAAATTTCAAAACAATAGAGGAGTAAAAAAAAAAAAAGCATTGAATTGAACCTCAGCGTAATTGTCTTTCTTGCGAGTGATGCGGGCGACGAGGCGTTCGCCAGGAAGAGCACGGTCGCACATAACGACGAAACCGGAGTTGGCCACTTTACAAACTCCTTTTCCTTTGAAAGCAAGGCTTTCGCATACCAGCTCCAAACTCTGTCCTCTCTTCGGAAAGTACGATTCAATCTTCTTCTTCGTCTTCTTGTTATCATCATTAGGTTTTGTGGTGAATTGAGTATCTTCTGAATCTTCAATTGAAGAAGAAGAAGAAGAGGGAGATGAACAGAGAGAAGGTAGTGAAGAGAGAGAATGTGATGATGATGATGGGGTTTTGCGGAGGGTTTGAAGCCATTGATGAGAGTTCAAGCGGCGGAGGCCGTGGCTGGGCAGGGCTGCCATGGTGTGCTGCCGCCGCGAAATCGGCGGTGAAGAACAAGGGTTTACGTTGGTTGCGGATAGAGGATGTTTTCGGAGTGATGAGAATTAGTGGAGGTTAGTTTCGTAACTTTGAGCTTTTGGGCATGTAGATTGTAGCAGTGTGGGTGGGGTCGGTCGTGGCTACTAAACTTCTAATTTATTATTTATTTGTCAAATTGGTGAATTAGATAAAATTAATTCACATTCGTCTGTTAATTCGACAGATGTAGATTAAATGGATTAACAGATGGATGTGAATTGATTTGATAATTTAAAAATTTTATAAATTTTTAACATAATTTAATTTGTGCATTTCCTCACAAAAAAAATATATTACAGATAATTATTTAAAAAAATATTACAATCATTGCATGTCTCATTCAAAGAAAAAAATTTTTTAAAACTTTAGAATATGACAATCACTGCATACCTCATCCACATATTACAATCACAACCTGCCTCATTTATATAAAGTATTATAATCTGTGATTCTTAAAATATAAAAATAATTCAAATCACCAAAACCATGAACAGAGCAGTAGTAGAGATTGTATGTCTCAGTATTGTTATATCTATATCTGTTTTTAAAAACAAAAACCAACCAGCATATATTATCTTTTTTATTTATTATTTTTAGAATTAGATTTAAAAATCAACAAATATAGATAAGTAATACATTTATTTTTTTCAATTCAAAAAATATATTCAAGTTGAAAACTCTTTTTCAATAAAATATGTTTTCAACTTTAATATATTTAACAAAATATTTAAACTTTTTTTCAATTAAAAATACAAATAAAATATCTAAACAAATTGAAAATATAAAATCTTACAAATTATTAGGAGTGCTCGTGGTTTTGCAGTTTGGTTACGGCCAAAGAAATCTTAAATCTGTCATCCGTCTAAAACTAGACAGATTGGAAAAAAATCAATCCACAATCGTTCGCTCGTCATTACGAATCTGTCCAAAATATGGCAGATCGGTTCGATTTGGTTTAGCCGATTTGGGCAGATCGGTATATCTACTGCTCACCTCCAGATTGTAGTAACTCTCAACAGGACCTGGCAGGAAAATTCTATTTTCACATATTTACTTGTTTCTGTTCACATTATTTTTCAATGCATATATTTAGTAATTTGATTATTAATTATTATTCTCATTTTATCCATCAAATACTTCAATCATATCCTTAATTCATATCTTATACATACACCACCTCAACCATCTTTCTATATACTCTCACATCAATCTAGCTCCTCTCATGGAGTTGATGAGCAATTCATCCAAGGTCAAATCGACTTGGTCAATCTATAGTCAAGAGTAAATTCTAATCAAGAGGAAATTGAAGCTTTAACAAAGAGCAACTTTGAACTCAAAAGAATTCCATCTCCATTATCTTCATTAACCTTTATCATCAAACCCATCTTTCCATTTTCCAAACAAGCCCTAGTATTTCTATTTGCATTTAATTAGTTGAATGAAATCCCATATGCGTCTTTGCTATTAAGATGTTCAATTTGTATTTTTGCTTCATCATGGTAATGATTTGGTAGTAAACAAACACACTAGGAATGGAGGAAAAGAATAGTAAATGGAGAGTGGCTGTGGAGATAGAAGAGGGGAAGGGTCTGATCCACCATAGAAGTTGGGATAAGATTGAGATCAACATCTTTTTTTCAGTTAAGGTATGCAATATATATTTTTTCAAGGATTAGTTTATAAAAGTTTATTGTAGAATGTTAGATTTAGCCAATTAAAAGGGGTTTTTTTTTTCAAAAAAAAAAAAGGTTTAATATGTAATGAAAATTCCTCCACACAACCAAGAATTTTTAATTATTTTATTATGTTTTCGGTTGGATGTATAAATATGTGATCTTAATCTGTTCGGTTGACTAAAAAATTAATGTTAAGAAGAAAAAAAAAAAGATCATAAAAATCTCCTAATCTATTTTGTTTCTTGTTGTTTTTGTTTAAAATGGAAGAATTATGATTTAGTTTTTTTTTTTATACATTAAAAGATGTGCACTGATTTTTTTTTATATTTAAAAAATATGTACAGTGAATATTTTCATATAATATTATGGGTATGCTTTAATGTTTATTATGGTCATTTTACTTTATAATATAATTGTCATTAAAATAATAATTCATTAAATGTGTGTCATGAGTATATATATGGAAATAAAATTTCTCCCAATAGCTACGGATGTAATAATGAGCTGGCCCAAGCGGGCCTCGCGAGCTGTCGTTTTTTTAGCAGGTCGGGCTAGGCTAGCCCATGGGCTAAAAAGTGGGGGCCCAGGCCCAAGCCCACTCATAATAGGGCCTAGGGCCTGGGCCGTAGCTAGTCGGTCCCTTTTTTTTTTGAAAAATAAACGATAATTACATGATTTATGTAGATTATTTATTAAGAATAAAAAATAAAAGAAAAATTATACTAGAGTATTTTAGTTAAGATTAATGAGATGTTTTATTTAGTTATGTTTTATGATGGTATTTAAATTTAATTATGTATGACTTATGTTTTTTAATTATGAACTTATAACTAAAAAAGTATGTAATTGTGTAATTTTTTTCTTTCGAAATGAATAATTTTATATATATGAAAATGAAACTTTCAATATTACAACATTTAAATAATTATAAAACATTTATTGAATCAATAATTTTTATTTCAAAATGAAATAAAATATTACGAAAAATTATATTATTAAATAAAATATATGCAGATTATTTATGATGGTAGAGCAATTGCATCACTATAGGTCAAGTACATCCCAACTAAGTTGACACCTACTAGCCTACCAATCATTTGCATTATATTCCACCTTAATAATCTAATACCAAAAAAAATAAAAAATAAAATGAAATAGTAAAAAACAAATTGTTGATCAATCATCAGAGAATACAAACATTTCAGTGGTGTTGCTTGAGGATATGTCATCCAAATTATTTTGAATTCCCTCATTTTCACTATAATTTTGTCTTCTTATAAGCGCATGCATATGATCTCTGGATATCATCAGTGCTTCAACCATTTAGGGTGAGAAAGCCTGCTCCGATAATCGCTCAACACCCGTTCACCTATTGGGGTGAAAGCCTACTCCGGTAATCGCCATCTGTGAAACCACAGGCCACATAGTTTTATTTTGTTTCCATTATTCCAAAATGTCAAAATCATCGAAATCATCCACTGGCGAGTTTTCCAGATAACGTTGTAATTCAAAACTACTTACGCTTGTATATTGAAATATTCTTCTACTTTTTATTGCTGAAAAACACTTAATCTCCTGCCTTGAGATGAGACTGCTAGTGTAGTGTATGTAGGTGTATTTACAAATGTAATTGCTTGTATTCTTCAAATAATCTGTTGCATGTTTACATAATAAGGGTAAACTGTGTTTGATCAACGAAAATACATTCTAAAAATTCTTGTAAACCAATTTTTTTACACCTATGATCAATTATTATGGCTAAACCTAAAAGATAAGGCAAATGATCAAAATACTTATCAAATTTTACTTTCATTAAAGTAATAATGGTTTCATAATATTTATTACTCATATATTTTACGAAAACTTTAATTATTTCTACTAGCATATGTAAAACAATGGTGAAATAGGAATATATATATATATAAGAAAATAATTTTGTTGAAATATCAAAAAAAAAATTTAAAAAAATTATACAAGGCTACTTGGTGCCAATTAAGTTCTGTGGGAGTTAGTATTCATCCTATTGATGTTGTTACAAAAAATAAATCTATTCATCTTCTTTGCTTACAAGTTATTTTTAACATATTATACGTTAAATTTCACATACTATCTACATCTAAAATTAATTTTTTAAATGACATGTTTTCTCGTTGCCATATTTTTTTATATTCCGACATTCGATTAGCAGAAGACATAATAGTAACAACTGTATTTTTTTTTATTACAAGTATGAAAGTCTCATATACATGCATAGCTTCTTTAACAATCAAATTTAAAATATGGGTACAATAACTGTAGACACCCCATTTTTGACCGACCTTAAGACTCAGACGTCACCGATTGAGCGCTTGGTGATGTTGCATATCGTGCTCGTTCAGAGGTTTCAGAGTCTCGGCTGCGAGCCTCGCCTCCGGATTTCCGGACTCTTTCATGCTTTGCCTCGGTTTGCGAACCAGGCTCTGTTTTCTCTTCCCGAAGGGAGGGGGAGGTCTCGTAGATTATCTCTCAGTGGCCGTAGGCTACGTTTCGTGGTCGTAGGCCATTTTGCCCGTTTGGAGTCCGGTTTTCGGTTTTTCGGAGCCGTTGGCCATGTGCCTCGGTTCGGGACCACTTAACCACCTCCGTTTGCTCCGGTTTTTGGCATGCATCTTATTTGCTCCCTTTTGAGGGACATTGTGGCTCGAGAGACCAACTTCGTGGTCGAACACCACTTCTGGTGCCTAACAGTCAGTTTTCGGGGCCTAGGGCTGCGCGTTTCGGCCCCCGAACCTTCATTTTGCATCGGTTTGGGTTCATTTTTGGCAGGGACCTCTGTTTCATTGTTAAGAAGGTCATAGAAGGGTGGGAGGCCAGTAATTGTTCTGACAACCAGTTTTATTCCTCCATCGCCCTCCGTCGCCCGTTTTTCTCACTTGAAAGCCAATGTTGACCACCCTGAGGCCACTTTTTCCAGCCCTAAACCACATATTTGTGTTGTACACACCTGGAAGGCCACCAATATCACATGGCCGACCAGTAATTGTGTGTGACCCTTTTGAACCCCTCCTAAAAGTGACCTTTTCTCTCTCCTGGTTCACTTTCTCCAGTTTTTGACCACATGGTTATGTTGTGCATACATGAGAG